GTCCAAAGGTTGTGACAATGGCAGTCTCCGTCTCCCTCGTATGACTTGGCTGGTTGGGTTTCTCTCTGGTTGACTGTATTCCTGGCCTCTTGGGGACCCTCTAAAATGGCAGGCAGAGGAAAGGAGGCATTTCTGTGTGCTGCCTTCATTTGTTCCTCAAGGGGTTTCGGCTAAACTCCCTAAACAAAATGAATTTGATTTTATCTGCCAGAGAACATTCTAAGTAAAAAGATCAAGAGCCATCACCCCATTGAGCTCTCTCCCCACATCTCGAGAAGGCTGGGCTCCTTGGAGTGGAGAGTGGGCTGGGACCCCATTCTGGCAGCATAGCGGAGATCTTCCTGCCTCAGTGTGGATCTGGTGAATGCTGAGGGACTCAGGGTGGGCTCCGAGGTGGACTCATTGTCCCAGCTCACTGTGCAGACAGGGCAGTAAGTGCCAGGCCTGGGACTGTGGCCGTAACCTTGGCCGGTGGTCGGCCTTTACTTTCAGCAGCAGCAGAGGGATCGTAACTGTGGTAGAGAAGGATGTCGAGGCAGAAATTGTTGAGGATCTACACTGTGTCAAGCACTGAGAGAGTTTCTTCAGATATTTGGGATTTTGAACGTATCTACTCTTCTAATTTATTTCCATCGTCCTCAGAGAACATGTTCTGTGTGATTTCGCTCCTTTGAAATGTATTGAGAGTGATCTCGTGGTTCAACATATGGCCTGTCTTGGGGAACGATGCATGTGAACTTGAAAAGAATGTGTCCTCTACAGGTTTGGGGTGGCGTGTTCCATAGACATTGGTTGTGAAAGACCCAGGACTCCGCCTGGTACAGAACAATCTTCACTCTGCGGCGCCCCCAGGGGAGGGCAAGTGGGAGACATCCATGTGGGTGAAGAGGCACGGCCAGCCCCCCAACCCCAGGTGGCAGACTCTATGCCAACTTGTCCTCCATGTGGCCCCCATAAGAAGAAAGGCCAAGAACTCTAAAAAGACCTCTGAGGCCAAGAGAAAATGTCCAGGGATTTGCTCGACGGAGAGAAGCTGGCCCTTGGAGATGAGGAGGGGTGTATGTACGTAAGACTCTCTCTCCCCAGCTGCTCTCTCTCTTCTCCTCAGGCCTTCAGCAAACATTTATCAGAGACTTGCTCTTCCTGGTAGCTGTTCTATGTGTGGGGATGTAAGGATCAACATTGCCCCTGTCCTCCCAGAATTTTCAGGCCACCGGGAATACAGGTAATTAAACAGGCAATTATGCCCAACAGGGCAGGGGGCATGCCTGGAAAAGTACGTATATATCAGAATAGAGCCGCTCTCGCTTTTTTCCTCCCTCTCTCCTCCTCCGTTACACAGATCTGCAGATCAAACAGGAGGATTTCCGCAGGGAAGCTGAAAGGTAGAGATGACATGGTGCTATCTGTCAACCTATTAGAAAGCTTGATGTAATTATTTCGTGAAGGGCAAGGGATGTTGCCCTGGGAGAGGGGACCCTGGAGGTTCACGGAGTAGAGAAGAGATACTGTGCAGACAAGGAAAAAAGTCTTTCCTGAGGTTGGTAAATTTGTATTTATGGAATTGGTTACAGGAGGCCCCAGTGGGAGGTTTTTCTTTCAAATAGGTTTTGGCAACTCCATAGAAGACGGTCTTTGCCCACCTTTGGTGAGCTCATGGTTTCTGTTTCTTTTCTCACCAAATTGTATGCCTAAACTTCTAGAAAATAGTCATATTGACCCACTTAAATTTTCCACCTTTTTAATTGCCCTTGTTCCTGGGTGGAGGGAGTATAATGAGCTAGCAGTGGGAGGTGGGGGTGGGAGGCGAAAGGTTAGACTGTCTTTGATGAGCTGGGAGGAAGGCCTGGGGCTGCGTGATCAGAGAATGTGGTTCTTCGGTGGCCTTTGGGGTCACTTATTAGGTTTGGGAACACTAGTTGGGAGTTCACCAAACAGCGTGCAGCCCATGAGGGTGGGCGACTCTTTGTGGGAGCTGAGGAGAAGCCTGAGGATCAGGGAGGACCCATGCTATACCCTGGGAGGTGGCAGAGGCTGTGGGCCCCACGAGACCCAACACCAGTAATGGAGGAACTACTGGCAGCCGCTTGCTTATATCCCCCATCCTCATTACCACCCTGGGACCCAGGGATCTGCATTTTACCCGTGAGGCGACAGACACTGAGCATAGTTAAGCCAAGTCGCTCAGCTCCGGCTAGAAGTGGTGGATTTGAGAACTGATTCCACACAATCCCGGGCTCTGAGACCTTGGCTTCCATTGCCACATGCCCAGCTGCTTCCCTAGAGCTTTGGGGGCAGCTCCTGGAATCAGGCTGCCTGGATTCAGATCCCAGCTCACTATTCAACAGAACAATGATCCGAGGTCAGTTCCTCACCCTCGGGTTCCTCCTTTGTAAAATGGGCTGGTTTGGTCACCGTGCTCAAGGACTGTTCTCGATGCCCCATTGAGCTCGTGCGGTGCATGTAAAGCTCTGAGCACACGTGTAAGTGCTCCGTACGTGTTGGTTACCGTGCTTGTTATTAACCCAGCAGGACAAGGAGGAAGGTTGGGGGCGTCCCGGGTGTGCTGTCGCTCCTCTGTTTCCTCCTCCCACTGTCCCGACTGGCAGGCAATCAGGAGTTGGTTTTTCTGGTACAAAGCTTGCCCTGGTATCCTGGAGTGACCTGCAGGCCTGAGATTATTGTACAGGCCCACACGCCCAGCCAAATTTACCGCTCGCCTCGGTGGCCCCCTCAGCCTGTGCCTCTGTAGTTGAGAGAAACCGCTACCCTTCAGCCCGCGTTCTCGCTCTGGAAAGGCCTGACCTTTATTCAGAATCATCCTCCAGTCCCCACGTCACACACAGGCTCGTTCACCCACTCCCTCCCCCGGCACGCCCTTTGTTTTCTCTCTTTGGGGGAGATAATGGGGACCACAGTGTCTCCAAGACAGCTGTTTTTCCTTCGTCTCTGTCTCTGTCCTTCTAACTCTCTGTTCCCCAGTGGGGTCTCTCTGACACAGGAGGGTACAGTGAGGATATGAAGGTGTTGAAGGACAGGGCTGTAGCGTCAAACAGCCTGGGCTTAATCCTCTGAGGTCCAGAACAACTGCCCTTCACTTAACGTTCCTCATGGGCATGCCATATGATATTACATATATATATACATATATATAAAATATATAATAACTTCCATCAGGTTGTGAGGATTAAATGGTGAAATGAGATAACCCATGGAAAAGCATCATTAGCATTCAATGCTAATCATTATTAATCATTATTAATCAATGCTATCATTATTAGAAGTCCTGGGAGCTTCAGGGTGTATCCTCAGTCGAGGCTTTGTGGCCTCTGGGTCTCGGTTTCCTCATTGTCAAGAGAGTTGCTGATAGCTGCCCTAGTGAGGTTGTGAGGACCAGGACGCAAGAGGGGTTTGAGAAGACTGAGGACCCCAGAGTCAAAAACTGGACAGAGCTCCCCTCTCCTCTGCCCAGCCTGTGCCTGAGCTTTAGGCCTGGAGGTGGCATCTACCCACCCCCTCCGATGTGCTGGGGTTGTGGGGAGGGCTCAGCTGACCTTCCCAGCTCCAGGGGGCTACAAACTCTCAGGCTGAGAATTTCCAGCTGATGGTCAGTTCCCCTGGTGCATTGAATTTTCTTTCTCTCTCTCCTTTTCCTTACCCTCTTCCAGCACCTTCTGAAACTCCCCAGTCTTGTGCTCCTAATGTCATACACTGGCCTTTACTTAATTGTTGCATCACAGAAGATGGCCCCCAGGAGTCCCCTGCTAGATGTTTCCTCAGACCAGCGCTGCCCACCTCCCCAGTGTCTGTGGTAACTTTCACACAGCCAGTAAATCCCTTGCCCTCTGCCCAGCCTTCCGTCCCCCTCTCTGGGACCTTATTCCTTCTGCCACTTGCTGCCCAGGGCACCCCATCTCTGATGGTGGAAAATGCTCCCCGCACTGAGCTTTCCCCAGTGGCCCCATCTGGAACAATATACATATCTTTCACCTTTAAAATCTCTCTCTCTCTTTTAACCTTCTCATTTTGTATGTCTCAGTTATTTGCTGCCACATTCCTTAAGGAAAAGCTCTCACTCCCACAATGCTGCCTGGGCTTCTCTCTGCACCTGTGTTCTCTCATCTGTAAAATGGGGAGAACTGGTGTAAATGACCGACGTTCTTACGAGTTGTGAGGCTTAAAAGAGGCTCTCGACATGAACACCTCCCACCTCAGGGCCTGCACATATTAAAGGATCAGAGAATGAATGAATGGTTGAGTGAATGCAAGCCTTTACTATTCTGCTAGAAATTGTTAAAAACAGATAGAATTTCGCTACTGTCCACACTGCCCCCGGGAATGCTACACCAGCGGCTCGCAAACCTAGGTTCTGGGTGAGATTCCCAGGTTGGCCACTTACCCAGCACACTGAATCTTTCTGCCCTGCAGTGACATCATCTGGGTCAGGGGTCAGCACACTATGACCTATGGGCTACATCCAACCCACTGCCACAAACTAAGAATGGTTGTTACATTTTAAAATGTTTTTTACGTTTAAAGTTTTACATTTTAAATGGAAATGTAAGTTAAATAGAATGTAAACACTTTTACACATTTTAAATAAAAATATCAAAAGAAAAAGAATATTTCATAAAGTATGAAAATTCTAAGAAATTCAGACTTTGGTGTTTGTTAAGTTTTACTGACACATAGCCATGCTTGGTCATTTACGTATTGTCTATACAAGCTGTGGACAATGTGTGCAGAGCTCTTGTGTGCTCTGTAACAGCACAGTTGTGTGGTTGTGACAGAGACTGCGTGGCCCATAAATCAAAAATATCTATTATCTGGTGCCGGCCCCGTGGCCGAGTGGTTAAGTTTGCGTGTTCCGCTGTGGCGGCCCAGGGTTTCGCTGGTTCGTATCCTGGGTGTGTACGTGGCACCGCTCGTCAGGCCATGCTGAGGCGGCATCCCACGTGCCACAACTAGAAGGACCCACAACCAAACATACACAACTATGTACCGGGGGGCTTTGGGGAGAAAAAGGAAAAATAAAATCTTTATAAAAAAAAAAAAACAATTATCTGGCCCTTTACCAAAGTTTGCCCATCTTTAGTCTATGAAATAGGAGCAACGGTATATGCCTACTCCACTGTGTATGGATAAAATGTGCATTATGTGCATAGCACCAAGTGGAAACTCACGAAAAGTTGGTTCATCCACTCTCTTTCCTTTTCTGTCTTAATTCCCTTCCATAGAGAGTTCTTATTTCAGGGCTTAAGCCACATAAAACCATAAAAAAAGGATGGCAGGCCACCTGTAACACCGTGCACTGCACAGATGAGGCCTTCAGGCAGTAAGGCTGTGTTTGTCACCTCTATCTTTCTGCTCCTCAGCATCCTCTGTGGGGATGCTGGGGAAGGGGCCAGAACTCCTTGTGTCCTCTGGGGTGTCTGGGTCCCAGACAGAGATGGGGGTGGCCCTGCATGGGCTGCCGTAGAGAGCAGCTTCTCTTGGATTTATCGGAGGCTGCATCATTTCTTGGTTAGGGGACTGAAACTGGGCTTGTGGCACAAAAGGTGCCTGCGGCCGCAGTTGAGTTCATCTCAAGATGACTGCTTGAGGGGATGCAGCTGGAATAGAGGGTCTTGATTCGGTTTGAGGGATGGCATGGAGTCGTGGAAAGAACTGACATATGGGATCTGGGCTGGAATCCCAGCTCTGCCCCTCACAGACTCTGGGATGGTCCCTCTCTGCACATCTTTTCTTCATCTGAAAAGTAGGGGTGATGGTTTCTCCTGGGGAGGGCTATGAACAGGGTTCCCCAGTGGGTAAGCCTGGGGAGTGCTGGGTTTTGTCTTTTTCTGCACTGAAACCCTGTGCTAGAACAGTGCCTGGCCAAAGACCTGTTTTGAAAGGGGGTAAAATACGTGGAGTGCCTGCCACACAATCAGTTCTCATTAAATAGTCATATTGCTGTGTCTGTTCTAAACTAAGAACCAGCAGAATATGGCCCACAGGCCAAGTCTGGCCCACAGCCTGATTTTGTAAATAAAGTTTTATTGGGACACAGCTCCACGCCTTGGTTTACATGTTGTCCAGGGCTGCTGGACAGTGGTGGAGTTGAGTAGTTGTGAGAGAAACATGGCCTGCAAAGCCCAAAATATGTACTATCTGGCTCTTTATAGCGAATCTTTGTGGCTCCTGCTCTGAATGTCAAGGCGCCTCTGTCCGTCAGTGATCGAGGATTTCATTTTCCTCTGATTGCAGGTGTGCAAACAGTTAAATGTTGAAAACAAGCTGCTAGCTTGAAGTATGTATTCTCGATGCCCTCTCTTAAGATACTCAGTTTTTCCTTTGATGCTCTAATTCCACCGCAATATTCCGGCACGGTCAGAATGGACTTATCTCCTGCTCTCGTACCTAAGATGGTGTCACTTTCATTTCTGTGTAAAAAGAAACTCAAACCACCTGTCAACCACTGGTATATTCATTAGGACTGGCCATGTACCTTGCAACAAGTCTAGGCTTAGGGAAGCACACAGGAGATGAGTCAAGGTAAAAAAGGATGACCGACTAGATACAGCTTACTATGTGGTATCAATGGATAGATGGCTGACAGGGAGCAGGAGGGAGTCCACTGTCTGGGCCACAGAGTGTGTAGGTTTCTGATTCATTCGTCCATTGTCATGAACAGAATGACCTCAAACACCTTAGTTAGCCTCACTTAACCTTGATTTTCCAATCTATAAAATGGCAACAATGATACTCACCACACTGGGTTGTTGGGAAGACTAAATAAGGTAATGTATCAGGTACCAGAAACATGGTAACTATTCACCTATTTTTATAATGAAATAAATCCTTTATTTCTCAGTTTGGGAGAGAGATTCAAAGACCTCTGCTACAGTCGGCCCTCCTTTTGATGGTCAGGACCCACAGTTGGTTTTGTGCAGTGGTGAATGGGATCTTCTGGGACTGAACAGCATTTATCAAGTACTCTTTGGTCTTCGTTTGAAGGGCTCCCCGTCCACTGGGCCAGCTGAGCAATGCGGGCTGGACCCTTGCCCTGCTACCATTGCATAGGCAGCAGATCTGTTTCTTCTCTTCCCTCCAGAAGGACAGAACGACAAGCCCCCGGATTCCTAAGCCCCAACGAGAGGACCATTCAGGAACCACTGAAGGCTGAGTTCACCAAGGTGAGTGCATCCTTGCAACCTGGACAGGAGCCCAGCTCTGAGCTAACAAACATGAACCTACCAACCAGGATCTCCAGGTGTAGGTCCCTTCTGTCTTGTTCACGGTTTAGAACAGCACTTGGAACACAGTATTTACTTCACCACAGTTTCTTGGGAGGATGGATGGTCACCCCTTGTGAATGACACACTGCCTACTGTCCTCAGAGGCTCCAGCCTCATGTGCCTCTTAGACTGTGATGCCCATGATGCCAGCAGGTGAGCACCAGGCTCAGAATGAGAGTACACGGCAGTTCTGTCCGACTCCCCAGGCCCCCGTTCTTGCCACAGTTCTCTGCCATCACCTGTCCTGGCTCCTCATGGCTGAGGAGGCTCCCGTGTGCCCATGTGCCCAGGGATCTTCCCACTGCAGCCCCTAGACCAGCCCTGCGAGGTGCAGGAAGCCAGCCAACATGCCCCCCCCAACCCCAACCACATCTAGATCTCCACTGTCAACCTAAGTCTAGATCAGGGAGTATGTGATGGTTGTCCCTTGTAGAAGTGGGGAAACTGAGGCATAGAGAGGCTTATTCACTTGCCCGAGAATCTAGTAAGTGGCAGAGCCAGGATTCAAAACCAGGCAGCCTGGTTCCAGAGTCCATTCTTTTTAAGAAAATACCACCCACTCCCCCCACACCCCACCACCCCCCATTAGTTTCCGTTAGTTTCTACCTTCCTCTGACCCACAGCCAGTGACCAGGTGTTCTGCACCCCAGCCTCCCCTGTGACAGCCAAGACCGCTCATCACCTGTAGGGTGCTCACAGGGCTGTGAGGCCTCCCTCTCTTTCTGCCCTTCCTGGTGGCCAGGAACCTGCTCCATCTTGCTCCCCTGAAATCATTACTCTCTTTGGACCCCTGGACTCCCTTCCTGGGGCTGTCCTTGTGTCTCCTCTTCCCTCTGTCTTCCCCACCCCGTCCTGTCCTGTCCATCCAATAAGGAATTAGATCCCTGGTGCATGGCGTTGGGGCAAGGGTGCTGGGTGGGAGGTGCAGTCACTCCTGGTCTTGAGCCTCGGCCCCCTCTGTAGCCTCAGGGCTGTGGCTGAGACCTTCCATCCTGGGAGGAGCGGGAGAGGTTCCTGAGTTTAGAGCGCGCAAAGAACAGGGCGCCGGAGGCTTGGAAACCAGGGGAAACGCTGCACTTTAAGGCTGTGCACTCGGCGTGGTGCCTCTGCGATCAACAAACCTGGCACAGGGCTGCGGGCGGGGGGTTGGGGGTGAGAATGGAAAGACAGCTGCCAAGGGGAACAGAGAGCTTCTCAGATCACCCTCGTGCCCTCCCCACTGCACCATCAGGGCTTCGACAAAACTGCACTTCCGGCCCGGGGCTGGAAATCGCTGTGTGTAGAGTGAAGAAAGAGAGGCCATTTTCTAGCTGTGTGACCTTGGGCAGGTGACTTAGCACCCTGCACTTCATATTCCTCTTTGTTCCAATGGTCATGATGATAACGATCTGGCAGGAGCCTATATTAGAGATAATACGGTTCCTGGCTCATAGTAGGTGCTCATTGTGAAAATGTCTTCTGCCTCACCTCCCCTTAGCCAGCCCACCCTTTCTCTGGAGAGGTTTCCTTTGTGATGAGCAAGCTGGCAGCACCTACCATCCCACTGGGCACACCCTTATAAGTATTATCCCTATTGCGATCTGCCCAGAGCCCCCAGTCTCCAGAGACCTGGGGCCCCAGTGGGCAGGGACTATGCTGTGCCTTCCTTCCTGGTTGTCCAGCAGCCATGCTCCGCCACACCTCCTGGTGAGTTTCTGTGGGATGATTACTTGTGAACACTTGTGAGCAGTTACTGCCTAGAAAGCAACTGTTTCTACCCTTTTCCCAACGATTTCACTAGAATTATTCCACTTTGCCCTTACAACAACCCTATGAGAGAGTCATTACTCCATTTTACAGACGGGGCAACTAAAGCTCTGAGATGAGGTGGCTTGCCCAGGGTTGCCCAGCCCCATCGGTGGGGCAGTGGCTGCCCACCAGGACCATCTCACGCAGACTCCTGCTCTGCACGTCATTGCACATCGTGCCGCTCGGCTTGCTGGGTTCACGGCTCACGCTTCCCGAGAGATGCAGTGCTGTGAGGTCCGCTCCCCGCCCCGCCCTCCCCAACCCCCGCTTCTGGGGAAGGATGCTTTCCAGGGCACTTTGGAATTAAGGGTGTGGAGGAGGCCCCTAGGTCAAGGCCAGGCAGGAGAGGCCTCTCAAGGGCTCAGCCAACATGCTGTATTTCTCCTTCTGAGGCTTGAAGAGGCAGGGTGCAATTGAGGGGTCAGGGACCACCGCCCAGGGTCACCGTGGGCAAATTACACCATGAGACGTCCCCCTTCCTGCACGAAGCACCTTGGGGCGCGCCTTCCTCTCCTTCTGGACGCCGTCCCTGACCACTGGCCTACCCTTTCTACGGGAATCACAGTTGACCCTGCAGCTTGCCGCGGACTTATATGTATGCTTAAGTATAATTTTGATTACTTTTTTCTTGTTCCAAAAGTAATTTATAATCACTGTAGAAATTTTAAATCAACAAAAGTAACCGAATTAATACCAATAATCACCCTACTCAAATATAACCAGTTGACGTTTTGATGTATAATCTTCTAGTACATATATATGTATATATATATTTAATATATTTATTCCTTTATATGATATACTAGGAAGGAGATTATATTCTACATGCGTTTTTCTAACTTGCTCTTTTAGTTAAAACTCTCTCACAAGCATCTTTCTTTATAATTAAATATTCTATAATGAACTTTGCTAATGGCTTTTTTTTTGTTTTTCATGTCCATTGCCATGTCATGGGTGTGCTAGTTTTGCTTCCTTTATTTTATGGTAAGCTCCTTAAGCGTCCATAATTCCCAGCATGATGCCAGCCCCGGGACTGGTGTGTTGTTTGATTGATGGCCATGTGGGGGCGTAGAGAGTGTGTGGGATTGTGGACAGATGGACCCAGGTTTAAGCGCTGAGTCTGCAAGGTTTTTTTTTTTGTTTTTTTTGCTAGGGAAGATTCATCCTGAGCTAACATCTGTTGCCAATCTTCCCCCTTTTTTTTTTTTATGTGAGCTGCTGCCACAGCATGGCCATTGACAGATGAGTGGTGTGGTTCTGCACCCAGGAACCCAACCCAGGCTGTCAAAGTGGAGTGCACCGAACTTTAACCACTAGACCATCGGGGCTGGCCCTGCGAGTTTCTTAAATTGTCCTTCCTGCTTTCTTTCCTTCCTCCCTCCCTCCCTTCTTCCCACCTTTCCCTAACAAATGTTTTGTTAAATATTCCAAGTGTTTATGCAAATACGCATTTACCTAAATAACATGTGAGTGCCTCCTCTGAGTTAGACCCTCAGCCTGGCCCTGGGGATGAAGTAATGTACATCCTTATAGACCTGCTCCTCTGGAGTGTGCTTCCAGGGGGGTTGCAGACCCAGATTAAATCAACAGATGAAAAGTAAATAGAGAACGAAATTGTGTTGAAGTACACCGACAGTAAACACAGGGCTGGGAGAGAAAATAAAGGGGGACACCCTTGAGATGGGGGTCCAGCAAAGCCCTTCCTGTGGAGGTGACTGTCAAGCTAAGACCTGAAGGAACAGCGGCAGGGAGAATGGGGAAGCTGTTCAGACCAAGGCCCTGAGATGGGCAAGACTTGGGCATAGTTGAGGAACTTAAGAAGGCCCATATGGCCACAGGGAATGAGGAGGGAGTAAGGTGACGGTGGGGGGTGGGGGGGGGGCGAGGGGTGGGGACTGCAAGGCCAGGGACCCTGGCAAAATGAGGCAGAGAAAAAGAGAGGGAATAACATGGCAAGCCTGGGATTCTGGAAGAACTCATAGGTGCGCCCCCTCCCCTAGAGGATGACTTCCTGGTCGGAGCAGTTGTAACTCAGATTCACACAGAGCTGGTCAGAATTCCAGAGCTGGTCAGCGCTTAGGCACGAGTAGAGTCAGCCTTGCCATTTTCAGTGTTAGAGGTACTGAGATTCAGCAAGGGGAGGTGACCTGTCCAAGGTCACCCAGCTGGAAAGTGGTGGGACAAGTCGGCTCCCCAAGGCCAGAGCTCTTTGTGCCGTGCCACCAGCCTGTTCCCTTCCAGGGGCTCTCCGAGTAGGCCGCTGTGTTTGAGCTCACCTTCCAGAAGTGTGCTCTGCAGTTTTGGTGAGGCACGGTTGTCAGCTGCCCCCGGAGTGCCTTCACAGTGATTCCCCGGGTGGCTCCGACAGCCTCATGTCAGAGCTCCAGGAGGCATGCCTTCCAGGCCCTCCACAGCTGATCCCCCCTGAGCCCTGTCACAGTGGACCCCCCATTAGGCCTGGAGAGCTACCGCTGTCACTGCCTTCTAGTTGTCGCCCCCGGACATGCGTAAGAAGGCAGACAGACCTCTCAAGGAAGATGTCTGGAGCTAGAGAGCGGTTCTCCCCATGTCCCCGAGCATCTCTTCCCCTTCTCTGCATCCAGGCTGGTGCTGTGGCCCGTTGATCCCAGGACAGGTCTCATCACACCTCACTTCTGGTACAAGAGACGCTTGTTCTCTGCTCTCCTTCCTTCACACGCTTTTTCTGGGGAAGACTGCAGAGACTGTTTTATTCCATCATTTCCTCCTTCCTGCCATTGGCTCCCAATGAGGACCTGCAGGTGGCACATCCCATTTGCAGAGTAAACTCCCACTTTGCTGGTCTAGACCACTGGTTTCCAGCCTGCCCTCTGGGACACTATGCTGAGGGGCTCCTGGGCAAGGCTGATTGGGCCGCCATGTCAGAGACTTCTGGTTACTGCACTCTACTGGGAGAACCCATGGAAGAGTCCCAGGAAAGGTTACATTTTCCTTTCATCTTTAGTAATAGAACCCCCAATTTTTAGCTGGGTGCATGAATAAAAGACTAAATTTCCCAGCCTCCCTTACAGCCATGTGCTTAGTTTCTCATAATGAAATAAAAACACAAGTGTCTTGAATGCTCTCTTGGA